TCTCTCTTGCTCTGTCAGTCCCGTCTATCGCCGTCTCCTTCGCCCGGTAGACTACGGTGTTGAGGGTGTGTCTGTCGAACGATATTGAACCTTCCCTCGCCTCCTCTCTTTTCAGACTTTGGAGCGGGTGTACCTGGCTTCAGGAACTTATATTGACGTACGTCCCATGCCAGTGTCATTCCTTTCAACTTCCCCAAGCCTTCTCTCCATCTTCCAACATCCTTACTTTTCTTTTGCTTGATCCAAACACTCAAGCATAGGAAAGGCACGTGTGGCTCGCCCGCCTTTCTCAAACCAGTTTCTCGAGCTGCGGAATTCAGACACACGCTCATTTTACTTTGCTGTTTGTTTCCTAATCGGAAAACACCATCTTTTACACTCACTTCGCCATCATTCCTCTCCCGCTCTCTCAGCCCTTCTCCCGAGGACATACCACGAGGAATCTTGACCCCGGAGCATATCACACGGAGAACAAGCGCCCTTTTGCACTCCTTCACTTAGCAACAAAACCCATGCCCGCCCCGTCACGGAATTCCTGAAGAGTCATTCCTTTCACCTACGTCTTTTGCCTCTCAGCTATCTTCCATTCTTTCACTCAGGGGTTCCGTGCTTGTCAAGGAATCCTTTTACAATCCAGTTGAAGTCTCTACTCTCCTCGTGGGGTAGAGAGAAAGAACGGACCAAGGTCGACGCATCAACCAGTCCCATACCAGTCCTCCGCAAGGACTATCTCCAGAAACACAAAGGAAAGAAGATTGCTTCCAGAGGAAGCAGACCTGATGATGATGGAGCACCCGCGCCCTGTGCTTCCCTCTCAACGCTACTCCCCTTCCCCAGTCTACAGCTACGATAGCAGACGATGCACACCGACTGGGCGGCAGCCGTTGAGGGAGTCGACGGGCAATGTCCAGTCCGCCGGCTCTCACTTGGGAAGCCTCGCATCGTCGTGCCGCAATAGCCCACTTGGGCTCTTCTCACCGAGCCTGACGAGCATACCCACTCCACCTATCGTACCATCCCAGGCTGGCTCTACCTACAGGAGCAGCAACAGCCTGAGAAGGCCTGATGCTCTCCACATGGCCAGAAGGGCACGACATGACATCAACCCCATCTACTATGCCCCCGAGTTCCGGCCTTACCGGGACAAGCAAGACCAAAAGGATCCCAACGAGAAGCAGATCTGGCCTCGTGTATTGGAAGATGCCTTCCTTGACTGTAAGTCACATTCACTTGAGCAGCTTGAAGTCCCTTCTGACATGGCATCTTAGCACTGCTCATCATCCCGCATATGGGTAGAAAGAAGTACAGCATGCAGGGCAAGCAGTTTGGGCGTAACATGCTCATCAGCGAGTACCTGTGGATCGCGTACTGCTGCAGCTTGCAGCCAGGACAAAAGGCAGAGGAAAGAAAGAGAAAGCAAGTCTCCAGCCACATTCAAGTGGTTAAGAAGATGTTTGAGAAGCACCGATGCTGTAAGTTCGGGTTGCCTGTCTGCTTTAGAGACTTGAGCTAACACATTTCAGACCACTTCTTTTTCGTCAAGGACCCTGACAAAAGCGAGGCCCGTCTCAAGGACAACATGGAGATTGCCTCCTTCAAGGACAACCCAGTCCTGGTCGCCCTCGCCGAGGGTCGTCTTCCAGACGTGCGCCCCAATTACGAGTACTTTGCCCAGATTCTTGCCATGGACTCCCTTGTCGTCATGAGGCCCAAGACTGCTTGGATCTTCGTCGCTTCCTCCAACGTTAGGATGGAAGAGAACGGAGACGCCTACGACCAACACGGCAAGCCTCTCGACCCTGACTACTACCCCCACTTGGAGAAGAACATGCACAAGGAAGACGGTCTTTCCAGAGGCCTCAACGGCAGCGTTCTCCTGCACGAGTACAACCGCGAATTGGCACAGAAGGAATCCGCAGCTGTCACTGAGATGTCTCAGGAATGGGAGGCCAAGTTTCCTCCCTTGCACAAGTCACTCGAGCACGCCATCCAGGACAACAAGTGGCTTGACATCTTGGAGATGACCGTCACGCTCGAAATTCATCCTCGCAGCAACTTCCCCGCCGGATCTGAGCTCAACGGCTTCGTTGAGCTGAGCATTTCCCAGCCCGCACTCCAGAACCATCGCTGGAAGTGCGTCACCAAGCTGGCGCGGCCCGAGGAGCTCCGCCGAGCCGAGAACGAGCCCTGCATCATTGAGCAAACGAGCGAGGTCGGCGTGCAGTACACGCACCGTCCCGGATGCCAGGAGAGCAAGTTCGAGTGCGACTGCCGCAGCCGTCCCAGACAGGACGTCCGCGTGCCCTTCCCCGCGGCCGAGTGGGCTAGCATCCTGAGCACGTGCGCCGGCTACCTCGAGCCCGTCGACAACAAGAACAAAATCGAGGACGATGAAGAGAGAGCCAAGGCCGCGGAAGACGCCGCCCTCGAGGCCGAGCGTACCACGGCAGAGCTGATCCAGCAGGTCGGCATGTTCCAGGAGCTGTGGTCTGCCCCGCCCGACAACTCTGACCGCCGCAACTGGGTGCGCCGCGGTATCATTCTCTGGAAGTTCCGCACGATCCATGCCTTTGACGACAAGTGGAACCCCATCTTTGAGAAGCCTGCGCCGCAGAAGGGCAGGAAGCCCGCCGAGGAGGACGGCGAAGACCAGAGCTCATCATCCCGACGGGGAAGCCGCTCAAAGCGCGTCTTCAACCCTCCCGGCACGACCTGGCGCTTCCTCACGGCTCTGGACCCCGTCTCCTCGGCACATCAGCAGAATGTCTGCGTTAACCCGGCATCTGGCCCGGGCCGGGAGATGCTCATGGCACCGACACCCCCCTACTCTCACCACCTCGCTGCCGTCATGAACGACAACATGAGCAATGCTTGGGAGTCCGTCACCATGCCTGGCCAGCTGCCAAGCCTGGCATCCACCGGAACACTTGGGCTCATGGAACCCTACTCACATGGACTCGCAACGCCTCCACCAAGTGCCTCTCTCAACTCGTCGTACGCAAGTAGCTACGATGGCAGTCATGAGCTGGCCGGCGGGCCGCACCACCATCACCACCAGCTTGACCTCTTTACCGCCGCGGCCTGCACTAGCTCCATGGACAACCAGGCCATCGTCGCCGACATGTCATCTGCTGCTCCCGACCCGTACCTCTCGGCGACTGCAGGCATTCAAGTTTCAAGCGGTGTACCTGTCGGCGTCTACGACGAGGGCGAGGTCGAGGGCATCCACGACTGGGACACGACGACATCGTCCTTCCATGGCCTCCACCAGTGGAATGGCTGGAGCGAGGCGGCGTCAGACCCAAAGACGCAGCAGTGGCATAACGAGAACCACCGCAGCGCGGCGGCCAACTCCAACCTCTGGGCCGAGAGCAAGGACCACCATACATGGAACCAGCAGCCCTGGGCCCAGGCCGTCTCGGCAGTCGCTGCCGTGGCCGGCACAGACGGCAGATCCGGATGGTCACCAGTCGACCAACAGCGCAGCAGCGGACTGCCCTCGCTGGATCAACTCACCCCGCTCAAGTCGTTGACGGGCAGCAGGAAGAGGGCGCGCTCCAACAGCCTCGACATGGAGAACAGGGAGAACTACCCCGCATCATCGATCCAGAAGCTGGTGCACCATCGAGCGCCGGCAGCTGTGATGGACGAGGCTGGTGGTCACGGACACCGGAACTGGGAGTGAAACTTCACACTCGGCCGAGCTGTACAGACGGGAAAGGGAAAGGGGAATACAGCATGTTTCCGGGAGATGTGTGCCCTGCTTGCTTGCGCGTATGTTGCAAAACTGGAGAGGAGTAATCTCGCATGCAGCGGCATCTGAGCAGAGGTGAAAAAAGGGATAGTGTACTTTTGCGCGGGAGTTTATGTTCTTGACTTTAGGGTGGGATGGAATGATTGACGGCCGACTCATGTGTGAAACGCCTATAAAGGCTCCTCTTGAATGGAATAGGGGCAGAGAAAAAAACATGTTGCAATATGCTAGAAAGAACAGCAACTTTTGATACCAATAATCACGTCTTGTTATTACCAGAGTTTTTAGTAAGGAGAAAGAAACGGAACTTGTTACTCTCACTTGGTCCCTCGGCAGAATATGAAAACAGAAATTGCTTCGGTTCCCACATCACGGTTACATTGGTCCGACAAGAGACGTATTGTTTCTCCTGTCATCCTTCATGCCCGCCAAACGTTGGTGTTGGGACGAGCGAGTGGTTCAGAGAGCTTCGCTGGAGTGATGAGATGAAACGCTCAAGAAAAGTGGCAAGCCTGCCTGCTTGCTTGCCTGCCTGGTGTTCGTCGAAGGGGGGGTCACCTTTGGTGGGTATTCTCTTCCTCTTCTTTTTTTCTTTTTTCATCAGCGTTTGAGGTGATGGAAGCTTAAAAAGATCAGATGATCCTCTGTTGCCAAGACTTATGTTTTGTGAGACGCTGCCAAATTGTGGTTGCTCCGTTTCTTCGGTTTGCCTTTTGTCGCAAACTCGACGGAGCTCTCGGTGCGGGTTCGTAGTCGTAGTCGTCGTCAACATCGTCCCTGTCCTCGTCACCAGTGCCGCCCGGACGTTACGGCAATAATAATAACTCCCCCTTCCCCGGCCTCGCCAGGAGGATTCAGTAGCGCGAGTGGATCGTGGGAGTTTGATGTTTCATTCCAAGCAAGAGAACGAGATTGCGGAGCAGGAGAAGCGAGTGGAGGTGTGCACGTGGAGACCTACCCATCGCATCGTGCGAAAAATGTGAGTGCTCAGAACCAGGAGATGGAGCGAGAGAGAGAGAGAGAGAGGATGAGGGCGATCAGTGAGAAAAAAGAGCGGAGGATGTTCGCAGGGGTTCTTCTTTTCTTAGGATGGGACGGACGAGGGTTTGCGGGTGCATGGTCTGAACAACGTGGACGGCAGGCGCAGGTGAAACGCTGCATGTCTGAACGTTGGTGACCGAGGTGTGTGATATCGCGAACAGTGGCAAAAGACGGGAAATAGGGGGTTGGTAAGTCTGGTGAGTTTTCAAGATAATCGCCCGTTCGAGCTGCCGTCTTGAGGAAGAATTGAAGTCGAAAGATTCATCAATTGCGTGACAAAGAATCTCGGCGGTTGAGCAAGCGCTGTCAAGTTGAGCCTCAGCATACTCAGCCACGATTGGACTGGACTGAAGCCGTTCGCCGAGATCTCGCGCCCGCCGCCCGCGGCGGGCTGCTAGCGGTGGAGCAGAAAAAGAAAGGACCGGGATGCGCACAGACGATGAGACAAGACGAATTCTGAATTCCCACCAGCGAGGAGGATCCAATTGTTGATATGCCGGGGTTTGGCTTGCAGATTGACGGCTCCGGGGCATTGAGCTCGGAGGCGTAGGTGACAATCTCTCGACAATTGAGATGGGGTTGGTCTAAGCGGATGAGAAAGCAGGACTGGAAATACCATGAACAACTCTTACTTTCCAACTTCTGTGCGGTCGCCGACTCTTGCTTGCTGTTAGTCTTCGTCTACTCTGACGGTTAACCCGAACACCGATTGCCAGAGCAAAGAAGAGACGTGGCAAACCGAGCCACGAACAGTGAAAACGGAGCAAAAGACTGGAAACGAAGGCCCGGTCAGGTATTCGTTGTTCATCGCGTGCTGCGTGCTGTGTACTCCGTAGGGGCCACTGGTCCGTGTTTCGAGTCTCGTTGCATTTTGCTCTTCTAGACGCCGTCCAGACGTCCAAGCTTGTGCTTCCCTGACATCCGTAGACGGCGGTCCATTGCGCTTGCCTAGACTTCGGTCCGTCTGGAATGAAAGGTGGTGACCCGGGTCGTGGTGTCCGATGCCCATAACTGTCGACTATTGCCACCGCTCATTAAGATCCCTGATGTGGGATTTTGGAGTAGGTCGGTGCTCCAAGGTGGGTTGGAATCTTGTATATTCGCGACTCCGTCCGCGGCAAAAGAGACCAGGGTGCTTGGCGCAAGGAGTACATTTTGCGAAGCATTTGCATTTCTGATTTGGCATCAAGTAAGCTGCCATGGAACACTGGTCAGTTTAGTTGCGTGGACAGACGGCAGTGGGAACTTGGCTTTTTTTGTTCACTTCCTTGCCTGTTCCATTCCTGGATCCATCTTCGTCGACCGTCTGGCGGCAGTCTGCGCCAACGGTGGCCAATCGAGTAGATTACCAGGCCCTTGTGTCCGGCGGCGGCGCGGCAAGGCCAAACAGGAAAGGAGAAAAGAGGCTGAGCCAATCTTACGGTGGCCAGCCATGTATTCGTGGACGACACGCGAAATAAGCAAGGAAAAAAGAGAAAATGGCCGGCGGGAATGGCCTCGGCGCGTTGAAGGTGGAACAAGCAGAGAGAAGCAAGTGGTGGTCTGGGTGCCAATTTTGGTAGGCGCCGTAAGTTGCAGAGCGGCAGAGGTGCTAGCTGCCAGTCAAAGTGGTGGTGGACCCTTGCGTCTGGAGCTCGCTTACTTCGGGCAGGGGTCGCATGGGCCTGGTTGACTGGATGAGGTGCATCGCGACTCGCAGGACGGTCAGGACCTTCTGGACTCTCTACAAGAGGAGTGCGAGCCCCTTGTTCCAGATTTTGCTGTGAAGCATGGGGTTCAAAGTCTCTCGGCCATACGTTTTGGCCTGCAGAGATACATGTTTCGTCGTTCGCTGCCCATCCCTGGCTACAAGGACCGTGGCGCCTAAACCAAGATCGGTGCAACCCCACGAGCGTCGGTACCTTACAGCGGGAGAGCAGCGCCGATTGGTACTTATTGCCCCAAACTTCCAAAGGTACCTGCCTGTAGGTAGAGAGCCCCGCTCGCGTGCAGGTTAGTGCAGACCATCTCCCGTTAAGTGCCCACCGCCCGACCCGACGTCTCCCCGACCTTGATGCGGATGCCATACACACTACATGCCTTGTCGTGACTACCGTGACTACCTTGCCTTGCCTTCAACCTTGAGACCTGTGCGCCAAGAAGTCCACTTCAACCTCCGCCGTTCCTTGTCAAACATCAACCTTGGCTACTTTGGCGCATCGTGCTTGACTGGCGCCCAGTACCTCGCATCAGAAACATGCGCTCTTCTTCGTCCCATACCTGGCCCCATCCGACCCTATGGCCGGCCCCGGTACACGACCGGTATCGTTCGCTCTTTGGCCAGATGCCCAGAATCCCCCTGTCCGAGTGCCCATCCCGTCCTCCACCGTTATCGTTTTAGATCGCGACTCCCACGATGCGCCGCATGGGTGTTTGCCTGTCATTCGGGTACCCATCCTGCGTCGATCACGACCCTCGTCCACGGGTTGAGCAGCCAGAAGGGAAAGCATGAGTCTAGATGCGTGTAGGGATATCCAGGCCATGGAAGGCGGCAGACATGGCCCATGGGTGACAGACAGACGTGATATTAAACCAGCCCGGCCTCTCATCCCGAAATGGCCTTGTGGTCTTCACCTCACCTCACCTCCTCATCCACCAAACGCCCTTCCTCCTCGGGATTCGCAAAAGAACGTGGAAACAATCGCATTGTTTCCCTTCTTCCCTTGAGGCCCATTCTCAGACCACCCTAATTTCCGTGGAGTTCATTGTACGCGCTTGAGGCAGGCAGGCACCTTCCTTTATTCGTTTTATTGTTCCTTCCTCCCGGACCGAGTCGACTGTTCGATCCTTCCTCGCCTTTTCAACAACCTCACAGCTTACAACGCCGCCCCACTTTAACCGAGATATCAATCTTTGACCTCGACCATCGCCGCATGTAGCACGACAAGGCCTTGTTATTCTTCTTTTTCTTTCGCCTTCTATTCTTGACTCAGCTGGTATCTGACTGCGCCGGACGTCTTTAATTGTGAATACAAATTTACGTGTGTAAACAAACAAACTTCTTGGTCTCGTTCAGTCCTGCCACGCCAGTCAACAACCTGATTCACCGAGAATTCAAGAATCCGCGTACATAAAAACAACCTCGAGGCGGCCCAGTCATCGATCTCAAACTTTCACATCAGTCATAACATTACAACTTCGACTCTTCTGGAAGACTCGAAAACTCTGCGCTCCTTCCTGCCAAACGATATCTCAGCCCGCCGCACCTGGTTTGTTCTCCTCCCGTCCTTCTTCCAGCTCATACATACGCAAACTCTAACTCATCTTTTTCATCCAGACACACACTCGATCCTTTTTTGATTTCGTCAAATTCCTCACCACTATTCACTTTCCTCACTTTCCCTTTGGAATCGCTCACGAGTCCACCAAATTCTTCCCTACTTTTGCGCTCCGCGAGTATCAAAAGCTTCATCACTTGAGTATCCCATTCACAAGAATATTCACTTCTTTCTCTTCGCAATCATATCCCAAGAATTCACCATGGTTCGCGTCAACTCCTTCGCCATGGCTGTCGCCGCCATCATCGGTGTCCCTATGGTCGAGTCTCACACCTGGGTCGAGCAGCTCAACCGCGTCGCTGCCAACGGTACTCTCGTTGGTCCTGATGGCTTTTCCAATGGCTGGGCTGGTCGTCTCAACGGCTTCGACGACGAGCGGTACACTATGCGCATTCCCGGAAAGGGCTTCAATCTCTGCGAGAAGTCCATGCCCGGTAGCCAGCCTGCAGAGTTCCCGTCCTTGACTGCTGCTCCTGGCGACTTCGTTTCTCTTCGCTACCAGGAGAATGGCCATGTCACTAAGCCGACCACCCCCGAGAACAAGCCCCTCAACCGCGGCACTGTCTTCATCTACGGCACCACCCAGCCCAAGTCTAACCCTAGCGTCTTCGACATTCACCGCCAGTGGACTGCTGACGGCAAGGGTGGCGATGGCACTGGTCGCCTCCTGGCAACTCGCAACTACGACGATGGCCAGTGTTACCAGGTCAACGATTCGCCCATCTCACAGGAGCGTCAGGGTGCCGCTGTGCATGAATCCCTTCAACCCATGGGCGTCAACATTTGGTGCCAGACGGCCTTCCAGCTCCCTGAGGATCTGGCCCAGAACTCAGAGTATTCCGTCTACTGGGTCTGGACTTGGCCTACTCTCAAGCCGGGTGTCGTCGCTGAGTCCACGAACGGCCAGTTTGCCGACTTCCCTGTCGGCTTCACGGACGACAAGCGCGCTGCTACCTCTGAGGATATCGAGACGCCTGAGCTCTACTCTAGCTGCTCTGTTATCAAGGTTCAGGGTGAGAAGCTTGTGCCCGGTGCCAAGGCTTCCTCGAACTCCAACAAGGCTACCAACGATCTGTCTGCCTTCACGTTCCCCGAGGAGACGGATTACAACTTCAACGCTATCAAGGACCAGCTTGCCAACCCCTTCCAGGTCAGCGTCGACGGCCAGGCTGCCCCTGTCAACTCAGCCCCCAGCAATGGTACTCACAGCAGCACTCCGGCCGCTACTCGCACTCCGACTCCCACCGTTCCTTCTGGAGTCGCCCAGAGCACCAACAAGGCTCGAGTTCTCACTGTCTCTGCTCCTGCTATGACTCTGTACTCATTCCTTACTGTCACTCTCGATGCCCAGACTCCCGCTCCGACTCCCACCAGCGGTCAACAGTCTGCTGAGGCCAGCGTCACCCCCTTCCTCCACGGCCGTCATGTCAGAGGTAGAGACTCTTGGAACTTCGGCCAGGGCAACTAAGCTGTTGGGGACCCACGTCGCGCAAGCATTCTGAGGGACATACATCGTCTACTGGGCCATGCGCAACACGATTCGACTTTTTCTAGTTCGACAATTTCTTTCTTTCTTTTCTTTCAGTGCTATTCTTCAACAATACCCAGCATTACCATACCACTCTCTTGGAGTTTGGGCTCTCTTTTCGGTATCGCCAAAGTCATACAGTACATACATTCGGTTACAGGCATCACGTTCTCTTCAACTTTCCGGCATCAACGGCAACGGGAATTGGACAAAGGGTCATGAACAGGAGTATCACGGTCGACATTTCGAATTTCTGAGCATTGCCCCAGGTGGACAGGACGGGGCAGGGTCTTTTTCTTTCGTTCTTTCTTGATGACCCAGGCATATAACCGGAACGGCATTTCCGGTCGGCGTTGGAGGATAAAGGATGATACCAACTTCTTTCTTCTTTCAGTTGCCTCAATATTCTGAGGCCATTTCTTTGTCATCAGGGAGGGTTTGTCTCCCAAGAGTTTTCAAGTCTCCCCCATGGGTATATGGGAGGAAAGGCTTCCAAACTGGTTCGCAATTTTCTCAAGGCCTCACTTACACCTTTTCTACCCATTTCGATGTTCGGACTTCACGTCTCCCCTTCTGGTTGGGCGGCTCGATGCTGCACTTAAGAGACATGATACGGATTGGCGGAATGGGGTTATGGATTAGATGATGGAAGGGAGGCAAACACACGAAAAACAAGTAGTCATGGAAC